GGGGGCTGCTGGAGGGCAGCTGGTCTGCCTTGTTCAGGCCAGGGACAGCTTAGAAAACTGACAAAACTTTCCCCCTGGATCAGGTTGGTCCTCCAGCGGTGTTGATGTGGTTCTGTACCACTGTGCCAGGACCCTGTTCAACAAGATGCTGACAGCAGTGTTCAAAGGGGATCTAAATCAAAACTGGCCAGCTGGGACTAAAACCCCTCTAAGATCCTGCCACTATTTTGTGAAAAGTTGGTCTCCTCTGAGCCCAAATGCAAATTTTTCACCTCTTTAATCCCAGCTTGGCTTTGTAATGTGAATGCTATTTGAATAGAAGTGCATTCCCTTTTTTCTTCTTTTCTTTCAAGTTGGGTAGGTGAGATTGTAGAGCAGCCTCCTGAAAAATGCCTGCAGGTCTTGTCTGTTGAAAGGGGTGTCTCTATCCAAGGTTCTCATAGCTGTTTCAGTTGTACCTGGTTTTTTGGGGCTTTGTTCAGTCAGGTTGGACACCCTCAAGGATGGTGATGGCTCCACAGTCCCTCTGGGCACCTGTGCTTTGTCTGGACAGCCTGATGGTGACAGTCTTCCTGTCTAGCTGGGATTTCTCCTGAGTCTGGTGCCACTCATCCTTCTGCCATGGAATACCTCTGAGAGGTGTCAATCATCTTCTCTACAGCCTTTCAGTGGGCAGCTGAAGTCACCAGTGAGGTGAGCCTTCTTTCTCAAGAGGAGCATAACTTTGTAGGAGGGATTAGAGGAACATGAGAACAATACCTCATTGTTTTACGTTGTGAACTCCTGGGAGATTATCCTGTTCCTAAGTGTATGTTTGTGTACTCCCTGAGTTTCTACATAACCCCAGTTCTCATTTGGTATTCTGTTACTATCATAATAATGTTGAAAGGTGACCTGCAGAAGAGGGCTTTTGCTCCTTTGTTCCCTTTTCAATCCATAAATCTAGAGAAATCCCCAAACTGTGGTTTGGTGGGTAGAATTTTTATTGGCTTGATTTTTTGGTGTTTCCTTCTTCCATGTGATACATACATTTTTAACTTCGCTGCTTTAGAAGGTTGTGTGAGTAATGGCAGGCAGATTGGTAGGATTCAGGTGCCTAGGAAACCAGAAAGCAAGAAGACAGCTCAAGGGATAATTGACTTTTGGTTTTAAAGATGCCAGCTTTTGTTTAGCACACCCTGTTTTCTGAACTTGATCACTGAGCATGATTCTCTCTCTTTTACCTCCAGGCATGACTTGAGAAAGCTTTCAGCCAATATTTTTCAGTAAAAATGGGCTTCCTCTTACTGATAGTTAAATATATAAATAAGCATAAGGGAGAACAGTGTATTCAAGATGCTCTTTGTGCACTTTAAACTAAGAAAGCCAGTCAAAATGGGTCAAATGCAATTTTTTTTTCCTTTTCAGCTCACCTTTGAGGGCTGCATAAATCAAGACAAGGAATTTTCATTCTTTTAGGAAGCAAGTAGAGAGGTGGTGGAATTTACAAGCTCAGGTGTGTGATTGTGGGATTGTGTCAGGCTGTGGAAATCCTCCTTTCAGTCTTCAATTGGCACTCATGTGGTCCTCATAAGCTGACTGCTTTGTAGTATATCTGCTGTATTTCGACACAAATATATCCTTCCCATGCTGTATATCTATTTTGAGAAAATACTGGCTACTACCATTAGGAAATGCTGAGCTACTTATTTTTTCCTCTTCACTTCAATTAAGCGAGTGATCAAAAGAGGAGACCATGCTGAGATAAATACATGCTTCCAGTATTTTAAGAAATTATTTTTTTTAAATGGTGCTTCTTTCATGTGGAATTTATTGGTGTTTGTTTTCAATACATGAATCCCAGTCAATGGTTACTGTGTTATGTCAGTTAATACCATAGGAAACATTATTCATTTGATAGAGCAGAGAAATTTTGCTGAGATTAAAGAGGAATAAATGGGAGTTAATCTAGCATTTGACCTTCCAGTTTACCTGACAAAATTAAGGGAGGGACCACAGTCTTCTCTGCAGCTGATGATGGGAAGTGGAGAGGGAGGCACTGGGCTCTCCTCCCTGGTATCCATGGAAAGGCTGCATGGGAATGGTTCAAAGCTGAAACATGGGAGGTTCAGACTGGACATTGGGAAGCATTTCTTTACCAAGAGGGTTATCAAACATTGGAACAGATTTCCTAGAGAGGTAATTGATGTCCCAAGCCTGTCAGTATTAAGAGATGTTGGACAATGCCCTTAACCTGAAGTGGTCAGGCAGTGGGACTAGGTGGTCATTGTAGGTCCCTTCCAGCTGAACTGCTTTGTTCTGTTCCAGCATAATCATAGAATTCTGGTTACCTGCAGTTTGATCAGGTTTGGGTTTTTCTTCCCTTACTATGGGCAAAGTAGCTTAGACACTGTCTTCCTATCATAACACAGTCCTAAAGCAAATAATCCCTTTCCTCCTCCTTGTTCTGCACTGATATTTCCAAATCCAAACAGGATACAGGGATTATGGTGGGGTATGGTTGGAATGAGTCTGGTCAGTCCTGGTCCTACACTGTGAGGTCCATAGTTAGGTTTCTTTGGTGAGTCCAGATCCTGAAATTATGTATGGTCATTTAGCCAGAGCACAAGAGAGGCAGAGATACAGTCTTGTATCTCTGTGCTGAGAGAAGAGTAAGGCTCCTCTGGTTTTATTCAGCTTCCTAGTGAGACTTCAGAATTCATTGCTTTCACTTCCCCCTAATTGAGTCAGCAAGCAGTATGTAGCCAAGCCCAAACCTATTTTAGGCTTTAGCTAGAATGCTTTGATTTTTTTTTCCAGCTCAGAGGGACATTTGGAAGGCTGGTGTGGTACACAGTGTGAAGAAGCCCTCTGACATTATCTGAGGCAAAGAAGTGTTAAAATTCAGCCTGATTTTCACAGAAATTGCAGAAAATATCTGACTCTGAAATTGGAGTTGGTTCATAAATCTGCAGGAAAACTTGCAGGCCTTGGAGCTCTGGGCCAATAATGCTGTCAGCCCATGCCCTACCTCTGTCTTTGTGTTTATGATCTGTGTGCTGGCACATCACACACTTGATGTGCAGTGCAGGATGGGCTGAAACAGCAGCTCACTGTTGCTGCTGAAGAGAGGTGACTTAAATGCTTGCTGTGCTTTATCTCCTGGAGCCGCCTGCCTCTGGCTGCTTAGGTGCAGAGAGTGATGATAGCTCCTGGCTAAGCTGTGGTCTCACTTAATGGGCTGCAAAAGCAGTTCCTGCAGTCTTCTTAGGTATTTTTTTAGCCATTACTTAAAGTATTTGCACTTGCAAATAATCAGTTTGAAACTTACTCTTATTTGAGCTTTAATGTACCTTAAAGACCACATGCCAAGAAAAGGGACTATCAGCTGTTTTTTACTGGGAATTATTATAGTTCAGGTTGTGCAGTGCTAGTTCCAGAACATGGTACTAACAGGAGGTTTTAGCATGTATTATAGATGTTTTTCTACATGAAAAACTTTTCTTTTAATGCATTAATTATATTTGTCTTTGAGGGACTTTTCTTTAGCCAAAATAAATATTAGATAGAAAGACATTTTCACAGCTAGGTGTTTGAAGAATAAAAAATTTATCTGCCCTGGAGCTATGAAAGTAACAGATTTATATAATTTCAGTTTAAAAAAAAGGGAAAGTTTCAATGTTGATATTTCTTTCCTTATCAAAAATTTGAGATTTCACACGGCTGTAATTTTTCATAAGAGAGCAAAATAGAGACAAAGTAAATTCCTTGCAACTCTAAGGATTGTATTTATATGAGCTGCTGTAATGTTTTATTTCCATTCTGGTAGAGATTTCTACCGGATTAGGGATTATAAGAATTGATCTCTTGGCAGCCTCATCTAAGGGAGTCTTGCAAGTCTCCTGCAAATAAAATCAACTTCAGAATCGTTGCTCTATTTCTCTTTCTCCTTCTTGTGAAATTTATTTACCTTAAGGGTAGTAAGCTGTCAGACTTTTGATCTGTATACATCTATACCTGTGATAAATTTTTGCCTTGGTTTAGAGCATAGTTAGTAAATAAATACCAGTATTACTAGACAACAAATAATTTTGTTCATTTTTTTCAGCCATAGTAGCATGATGATGGTGTAACAAGTAGTCATTGAGAGATTATCCTTTTTCTGAAAACATTTATTCTTTAATAGCAAAAAAGGAAGAGGGTTTTTTCCAAAGATTTTGTTTCATAGTACCTAGTTCATAATTTTGAAATATATTTAAAGATAGAAAACCACTTATTTCAAAGAAATCCAGAACTCTCTTACCACTTTGTATGACAGAAGCATTTACATGGAGTTGCTTCAAACAAGATTGAAGCCTTCTGTAGGGCATTGAGCAGAGACTGTCAAAGATTTAAGCTAAATTTACACCAGATTGTGTTTATTGCTGCCTTTCTGTAGATGCAACTTATACTGACAAGAGAGTGCATACACTTTGCTGGGAATCAGATGTTTTTGTCATCATTGTTGCACTGTTCCAAATCTTCTGCCTTAGTTTAAAAAGGAAAGGGTGAGATGGTGAGATATACATCAGTGTTTCCCAGATGCTCTTAATGGGGTTAAGTCTCCATCCTTACCTTGAAAACAACTTGGCCATGGAGCAGTGGAAGGCAGGATAGTACAGCCTCTGGAGGATCTCTGTCAAACAGAGATTTAAAGGAGGCTGAGACTCAGGGGCTTGGGGCAAAAGGGTGCCTTCCTTACACACCACTGCTTTGTGGCCTTGCATTTTGAAGTTTCTGCTCTGGAAGAGTGGCTTCCCTGGCCACTGATGAATTTAAAAATCAAGCTTTCCCATGTGGAAGAAGGGTAGTTATTAAACATGCCAATAAACACTTTCACCAATATGAGAAGTTTAGAAAATAAATATGGCACTATTTCCTTATAAGAGATTTTTATCTGTTAAATTTTACTGTAATCAGTTTATGGAGTCAACAAAATCTTGAAATGGAACTGCTTCTAAGTGTGGATTTTCTTTTTTTAGCACTGGTTGGACCATTCAAAATTCATTAAGAAGCAAATAAAAAGTAAGTACTGTGTCTCTGCCTGTTTATTTTGTTACTTCCTAAAGAATTTGAATTTAGTGTATTAGAGCATGATAGAGAATGTTTAAATATGGCCTTTAATGGAATAAATATTCCTTAGAAAAGAGTTTTAATTTAAGGGGTAATTGGCTGACCATGTCTAAAGGCAAGAGCACTTATTAAGCAGTAGCCAGGCCTTCAGAAGCCCTTGTTAAACCTCTGCTGTTTGTCTAAGGCCGAGTGAGTTGCCAGGTAATTTCAGTCTGATCTGTGAAATTGGGTTGCCTGGACACAGATCGCCGTTCCTGTCACTGCTTCTGATCCACAACAGATACCCTGCAATTTCTTTCAGAGAGTGAATGGAAAATACTTCATTGTGTAATGATTAATTTTTAAATCTTTTTTCCAGATTATTATTCTAAGAGTTTAACTAGCAGAAATACCTGCTGTTTTGTCAAATGTAGTTCTGAAATAGCTGCTGTTTCATCAAAGGCAGTTTTGGATGGAGGGGTTGGTGGACTGTATTTTCTGTGAAAATTGTCTGAGGCAGGGAAATAGTTCCTGGATTTTTGATAATCTGGTTGCAGGCTTCGGTATAGTACAGCATTGGCATTAGCATGTTTTGTTACAATACTGCAGTTGGCAACAGTCATGGGCCATGAAGACACGGCTTCTGTGAGATTAAAATGTGTTTTTCAAGAAAATTGTTGACTGCCTTGGAGGACCTTGCAGAGATAGATCTTGATTGCTTCAGTGGTGTTTTGCCTTTTTTTTTTTTTTTTATGAATACCCAAGTATCCAGATGATTTTTGTAAACAGTGGAATTCTTCAGAGGCCTTTAGGATAGTTTGCTGTCACCCCATGGTGTGTGGGTGTCAGCCTGCTAGAATCCATGGTGAAGATAGCTGCTGTGGGTAAGGTTTTTGCTGTTTGGTTTTCTCTCCCCTTTTCATCACATAACAGACTGCTTTACCTTAGGTGACTAGCTGATTTGCAGCTGCACTTTCTCTAATAGCCTTGTCCTGGAAAATCAGTGAATTTTGTAAGACCCTCAGCCAATTTAGTTGCGGGGTTTTTTTGTCTGTTTTTGATGTGTGAAGAGCCTGTTTTAAAAAGAATTCAGCAAATCGTGGCTCTGAGGAATGCTGAAGAGGGAAGCAATTTGTTGGGTTGTTGTAAAGGTCTGTCTCACAACAGGTTACTTTCCTTTACCTTGAATTCAGCAGATGCTTTGTGAAGAGTTCCTCTTTCATGATGGATGTTGCTCACTGCTGTCTTTTCCAAGTCATTTTCTCACCTTTGCAGACCTCACCAGTGGTGCTGAGCTGTGAGCTCAGGGTGCTGTAACCTGACTTACAGGAGCTGTGAGGGAGACAGAATCAAAGCTCTAATTAGCTGCATATAATTTAGTGGAAGGATCATTAATAGGCACGTGTTTGCCTGTTGATGTGGTGCTACAGAAGACCTTAGAAAAGTGAGGAAAAGTAATTTGTCCATCAATTAATACCTCAGCAGGCAGCTGGCTGGAAGATGAGGGTTAGGCAGATAAGGATGCAATGGTCACAGTTTCATGGTAGCTGGATAACTTCCTGTTATCTGTGTTACATGGGAAGTTCGATGTAGCATTCACCTTCTGACTTCAGGTAACACAATTCTTGCAACCCCATGGAATTTTTGAGCTTCCTGTATTCATGGGTGCCTTCTAGAGTCTTCTCCAGAACTTTTCAGTCTATTTATCCTACCTTTTCACATTAATATGTTTCAGTTGAAAGCTGATCTGTTGGGTAGGGGTTTTTTTGGAGTAGTGTTTGTGCCTGGTAAGAAGGAGCATCACCCTCTCCTTCCCTCTTCCTTCCATTTCCCCCTGGGCCCAGCAACAGGGAGTGTACCTGGAAACTTGTCATTCACAGCATGCTATGAGGCACTCCTCTTTGGACGAAAATGTGTTTGCCAAATGGATTATTGGCTTGATAAATTTCAATTAATGAGTATCAAAAAGTATGGTAATCATCTATATTTTTTGTTTATTTCATGCATTTTTGAATTTAAAAAATCATTAAATATTTTCTTTATGAATCTGAAACGTAATTAATTTTGGGTCTCTTGGGTTGTGGGGTGGTGTGGCAACTGTTCTGCCTTAGCAGGACTACAATGAGTATAAATCTTTTTTCCCCATTTCAAATCTCTGCATGTGCAGTTGGACCTCCGTACACGCTGCATTTTCGCATTAAGTACTACTCGTCAGAGCCCAACAACCTTCACGAGGAGTTCACAAGGTAGGAACTGCGCGTGGCTGACGGGGATTTGAGACATCTCAGGCACGTGGGGGTACTGCAAGCAGGTGATTTGAGCTTTCTTATTAAGGGTGCTCATTTTGTCTGCCTTCTTAGGTGTTTTCCTACTGTCAGTGAAACATAATGTTTTTTATTTGCTGCCAGAAAGCATCCATGGGGCTTTCCAAGCGTGTTGGTGTGTAGGAGATGCTGTGTTCTGGTGCTTTGAAGTTGGCAAAGAAGGGCAGAGTTGGGTGGGGAAAGCTGCAACTGGGAGACACCTGCTCTTGATATCTGCCATCCTCTGAGAGGGGTTTCCATTATGTCCTGCTAAAATGCCAGTGCCCTGCTTTGTTCCTGCTGCCCTGAGACTTGGGGGTGATTTAATAATGGTACCAGGGGTAGAGGATTTTGGGAATAGCCAGCTTGAGCTCTGAGTTAACAGTGAATTGAATCCCTTCTGCTTCCCCGTGGTTCTCTGTGAAGCAAAAGCCTGTGTTGTATAAAGTCACTCTGCAAATATCTGGAAGTCTCTTGTTTCAAACTGCTGGGGTCTTTCTGTGGACCTGTGCCTTGGTGGATCTGTAGCACCTTGGTTCAGAGGATATTCTGAGAGCTGGGAAAGCGGCAGCTGGAGTTTACTTATCTTTTGTATCTGCTTACTTTGTGTCTTCTCTGTATAGTATTCATCTATCTTAATGTTACTTTATCTTTTCTTTTGTTCTGCCTCTCACCGTAGGGCACTTTCTGTGTCTTCTAATTTGCTTGGCAATAATCAGTGTACTCCTAATCAGCCTGAGGTGTTTAAGGATGGTTGATTGTTGTAGTTCATGTGCATGTGATGTTTACACTAAACTTGTGCCTGCAGGCAGATGATTACTATCTCCCTGCTGTCTGCTGTGCCCACCATGGGTTTTTTTCACTGCCTGAGACAAGATTAAAGGGCTAATTGTCATCACCTCGTGATAGAGACACAGGGTCTTCAATATCTGTTATCAATTTAGTCCAGCAGTCATAACTCAATAATAATTCAATAAAAGGGCATATTTCTATAGAATGTATCATTAACTTATGGAAATCCCTGCCACTTATGTAGCTAAGTATAAGATCTTAAGAGAATCCAAAAATCTGGATGATTTATGGACATCTCTAATGAGAAAATGCAGTTAAATTAGTAGGAATAATATGTGTTTTCTGGAAATTGATGTAAGTCTTCATACATCAGGGTGCATGTCTGACAAGTATTACATTTCCCCTGTGGTCAAATTATGGCATTACTGTCTACCACAAGATTTCTTTCTTATGTGCTCTGAAGCATATGATCCTAGTCACTGTGAGATTGGGTTTCTGAGCTATGTGATCATTGCTGTGATCAAGTAAGACATTTTGTCTGAAAGTATTAACCTCTGATGCCTTGTGATCTAATTATTGCTGAAAGGTGACATTTCAGAAGACTATTTTAATTAGAAAAACACTTTAGTCAGCTAAATATTCAGTGTTGTGAACAATTTCTTTTAATTATAAGCTTGGCAGAAGACCACTGTGAAACTGTGTAAGAAAAATTGTGGCGCCCTTTTTTTTCTTTCTTTTTTTTTTTTTTTCATTTTTGGTTGGGGAAAGTAATTTTGAATTTAAGAAATCTATAGTTCCTAAATTTTTAATTCTTCTAATTTATGGAGGGTTTTTTTAAGACTCTTTGTGCTAGTTGGATCATATTTTCCATGTAGCATGTTGAGTGAAAAGTGAAGATTAATAATTGTACACTCAAAATCATTCCAAGTAGAAGAAAAATCATCCTTAACAGTAACTGTGAATTTTCCAGGCAGGAGGTGTTCATAATTCCTTCTGGAGATCTGCTTTGTAGTAGACTTCCATTTATAGTGAAGCTAAAAACATCATATTCTCATAATTAACACATTATTGGGAAGCATTAAAGTCCTTTACCTGCTCTGGTTTTGTGTTTAAAAAGACAGTTGAAATACAGTGCATTTTGGAAGACGTCTTCTGTCACTTATGTGTGACCTGACTAGTTAGTTTAGTTAGAAGAAGAGCAGAGGAACATGTCTCTACTTGATGTTGTGGAGAATTTTCTAAGGTATCTTGTTGATTTGGAGTAGCAACAATTGAGCTGCCAGTGTTTGCCAGCCTGTGCACAGTAAAGGAAGAAGGGTAAGCCATACCCATCAGAATGGGGCTGCAGCACTGCACAAGCCCCCTGAAACTGATAGGTGCACTACCTAGAGTCTTCTTGCAAGTTTAGAAGAGTTAATGGGATTGTGAATGATCTGGGCTACACATGTAAATACCCAGATTTGATTGGCAGTCAGGTATTAGCCAAGTATGTGAATCAGGGATGTACCAAAGAGCTAACATGGATAAATCTGATTCTGCTCTAGTGTTATCATGAGAAATTTTAATCTTCCTTTTCATTTCTGTTTCCCTGTGTGATTCCAACTGTTTGTTCTTCACCACATTCGCTCCACGTTCTCTGTGATGAAAAAACCCCCACTTTGTCTTTCTAGCATCCTTTGTAAAGACAGGAGAGGTCTGTGTTTGCATTCACAGGGCTCTCAGGAGTGCTTCATGCTTTGTTCTCTTGAGTCACTCACCTTGTCACTCACCCACAGTGTCCAGAGCAGTGCAGAGCCTGCCTCTGCCTTCCTGCCCTCTACACATGCCTTGCATGACCCAGGGCACTTGTGCATGCCTCAGAGCCCAGCTCTGAGTGGTGTCAGTGAAGCATGCCTACAACTGAAGGTTAGCAAAGAACAGCTTAAAATACTACAACAGTGTGAAGGATGTAAATTCCTACTTGGCATACTAAATAAATGTGTGAGTTCCATGGAATTCTTTTATTCAGAACTCTGCTATTTTTAAGTGACATTTTGGTATGAAACTTTCCTTTTGCCCAATTTGGACTTTTTCCATGTTCTGTATTTATGTGTGAGAAGGCAGCCCTGAAGCCTGCATGCCTTTATCTGTGTTTTGTTTCTAGATACTGTAGTTCAATTCCTGCCTGAATTAGGTGAGACCCAAGTTTAGGAGAACACTGCAGTGTAAGCATTTAGGTTGCTGTGGTGTATGCTCAGATAGAGCACATCCTAAACAGCAAGATTTTGGACAATGTCCCAACCACAACCAGTGGGCAAAAAATGATCTTCTCTTTGATTTTAGTGGAAGCTGTGGGAGCTTTGAAGCTTGTAGGGTGTATCTGTGTGATCCCAATGGCCCTTATTTTTCTAAAGAGCAAGTTATTAATGTTGCTGTTACTACTCAATGAATTGGGATATTCTTCCAGCCAGTGGAACTAGAAGGGTGCCACTGTAATTACTTTTGACTTTCTGAATTTTTTATTTGTCAGGTACCTGTTTGTATTACAGCTCCGGCAAGACATTCTTTCAGGGAAGTAAGTACCTTTTTACCCTTGTAGCTGTAATTTAAGGAATTTATAATAGTTAACCTCCTGGTGCATTTTGTTTTTCTTTAGAATACAGACATATAGAACATTGTATGTCTCCTGACTATATTACTGACAACCAGAATGGGTAAAGATTGTGATGGGTTGATGAGGTGATGGAAATGTTTAAAGAGAGTGAAAACTGTCCTGGGTTTTATGACCTGAAAATGTAACATGGGCTTGCTACATTTTTTCAGTATGGTGGATGAAATAAAGGATGAGAAAATTGAAGTGCAACACCTTTTGTTCAGGTCAACTCTGAAAAAATACTTTGTGTTTTTATAGTCTTACCCTGACCAATATTCATTCATACATGCACTAATTAATTTTTTATTACAGAAATGAAAAACCTTAAACCCATATATTCGAAAATAGTGTTATAGTAAAAATTTTTCCCTAGTTGATTTAGTGTTTTCTCTGTTAGTTCAATCTTGTTTTATGGTGAAGTGTATCATGTTTTATGCTAATCAGAATGTACCAACTTAGGAAATAATGATACACAAGTAACAATTAATTGTAGATGTTTCATAGCATGAGTAGTTTGTGGAAATTAATGTTTCCAGTTTTTCTATCAGGCTTCTTTTTAGCTTTATTGCAAGAGGATTTCACTGAGAAGAGACATGATTTTTATAGTTTTGTGTTTTGTTTTGTTTTTAAGATTGAAATGCCCATATGAAACTGCTGTTGAACTAGCAGCTCTGTGTCTTCAAGGTATGCAATCTTTTGAAAGTGGTTTGTCCTAATTTATTAAAAAACTCTCCTGCTGGTTTCTTTTCCTTTGGTACTAATGCATTCCTACTGATCATATATAAATGCCATTCTTTTACTCAAGGAGGAGAATTTTAGGGAGATCACTTTCTTGACTTGCCTCCATTCATAACTTCTGAGCTACATTAACCAATATCAGCACACCTGCTATGGGGAGGGAGACTCTAAAGCATGGCTGGACAAAAGTTTCATGGAAATCAGGGAAGAAGGACCCAAAATAGCTCCCTGCTGAGGGAGAAGCTGTGGTGCATGCACAAGTGTTACCACTTGAGGCTGAAGAGCCAGCTGGCCCTTCACACAGTTTATGGGAGGTGGGTGCCTGTGAATTTGGGCTTCCTGCTGCCTGAACTGTGCCTGGGAGAGGAAGCCTCCACAGTGAGTGACTCAGGAGATGGTTCCAGGGCAGGAGGGAGGGAGTGGCAGGTACTGGAGAGGAGAGAATTACATGGGGGGAGGGTAAAGAACTAAGATCACTTCTTAGTGGCAGGAGCAAGGATTTCACTATGTAAAAGCAGTTCCGGTACACTGGGTTTCATTACGTTATTGTAGGACAGTAATGACTTTTTTTGTTGTTGCTGCAAGCATGTTAATACAAATATTTGTTCCATTTCAAGCAATTTGTTTTGCAGATGGGGAGGAAATTTTTGTAATGAAGCTCAAACCAAGTTCATTTTTTTCTAAATGAGCTGGACCATTTTAAGCAAATCAGCAGCATTGAAATGAAAAATTATCTTCCTCTTTCACTGGTGGTTGGGCCATGGCACACAGAGAGCTTGGGCAGAGTTGCTTAGTTTACAGCAGTGGAAGTTACTCAGTGATTCTAGATGGACTAGACAGACAAAACTGTGAATTCAAGCAGCAACAGGTGTAAATTTTAAGGCAGTGGATTGTTTTACTGCAGCAGTTGGCACAACTGTGATTGTCAGGTGTGCAGAGAGCTGCTGCAGGCAGACTCCTTTTGTCTTTTTGAGGTGAAGGAAATATGGAGCCCAAATTTGATTTGTTGCTTATGTTTCCACAGATAAAAACTCCAGTAGCCTCACATCTGGTCCAAGCAAAGAGGACCAAGCAAATAATAATAGGTTAATGCCTCTACATTTTGGGTAGCTGCTGACACCTGTGATTATTGTGTAAATGCAATACAATTGCTGTCCATCGTGTTTATGATTTGTCCAGCTATCTACCAAAAATAATACCCTTGCTGTCTGTGGGAACATTGTTTTATACTTTTTTGCTGTTTTTTTTTATTTTCAGTTTCAGTTTTCCACTATTTTGACATCATTGCAATAAGCTTGTCCAAAATTATTTCATTATTGCAACTCATTCATTCTCTTTGCTGACATGCATAATAATGAGCATTTTTGATGTCAAGTTTGCTACATTTTATTGACATTGGAAACATAATTAAGCAGAAAAGTATAAAGAAATTTTGATTATTCCCTCCTCAGTACATTACATTTTCATTGTAAAATGCAGTCTTGCTCCTTAGGGTGCTTTTCCTAAGAGTGAGAAAAAGCTATGAATTGCTATTTAGGCATTGGTAGTCTGAGCCCTCTGAAAGAAAAGTCTTTTTACAGATAAGCTTTAAGTTTCATACATTGTCTCTTTTTTATCAAGGGAGTTTTCTGTTAAAAGTAATTATTGATTTGTTGCCAGTCCCATGAAGGAAATTCTGTATCAAGGAACACTGGTTTGTAGTATGGGGTAACATATGAAGCAGATAGGTAATATTATGCTTCATTTAAGGTTTATCTTTGGAAATGTCATCAAACTTGTTACAGTTAGTTTTTAACTGCATCATTAGTGTTGTATGGTCTTAGTGCTTAACCAGATATACTTTTGAAGCTGCTAATTATATTGGAAAAGAAAACATTTTCTCACATCTCCAATTTTCAGTTCTAATCATAAGACATTTTCATGGAATACTGCAAACTTTTTTTCCCTCAGTATAAAAGAATATTTAAAAAAAATATATTTTTTTGGCATTTTCAAAAACTTTCTAGGAAACATCCTTTTGAAATGTCCCCCAGGTTATTTTTTGAAGAACACAGATAATGTATATGCATTACATATGCATACATATGTATATGTGTTATGTAACACCTGCCCCACCTTCCACTCCCCTCCCCAAAAAGGCCCAAGAAGGGGCATGCCAAAGCATGTCATGAAGACAAAAATGAAGAGATGGGTCTCTTATGCTGTGCCCTTGCATCTCAAAATATGAGTGCTGCTGAGCCTGTGTGTCTTCTGTCCTACAAGCTCACGATTCTTCTCATCCCTACACATCCTTCTTACAGCGCAGGCAGCCTTTGTTCCCCACCTTCTCTCTCAGATAAGTAGTATAGAAATCTCCCGTGTTTTTCCGAGATGGTTGGCAACACATCAAACTTCAGACCCATACCTTTTTCTCTCCTCTTTAATTCCTCCTTGCTAATGTGTTTGCTGTGGCTCCCTCTAGTATACTGGAGAGACTGGACTGCCAGTAATTCTTAATATGTGTTAAATAGGCTTCTAGCTTTGATGAAACAGCCAGGGAGCTGAGATATCTGTATGTCCTTTTCTTTAGCAGACATAAGAATACTGTAACTCACTATGGAGGATTACTGTTGAGAGAAAAAAAAAATGTGTGTGAGACAGTAATTAAAAAGGAAGACCAATGAATTCAGTGTCTTTAATATCCTCAGGACTGCTAAATGTTTCAGCAAAGCTCAAGTTCTCAAAATCACCTAGCAGGTGTTATCAGCCAACAGATTGGAATTTGAATGTAACTTCCTATCTACTGATGGATCCTGTTAAGTATTTTTGAAGTCTGGCTGTGACAGAAATTTTTGCAGCTGTTAAGTGTAAAAGCACCCTGAAGGAATAAAACTGTTTTCTTCGAGGGATTTAGGTTCCCTCTATGCTTTTTCAATTTTATTTTTATTTTGGCAGTAGTAGTAGAAGTAGTAAACAGTTAAGAAATGCTGACTGACAAAGGGCTGGTTGGCAATCACATCATGTGTCAGGTGACACATGGCATTGCTGAAGTGTATTTTCCACTGGTGCTTGCCACACAGTCCCGAGGCAGCGACGCTGAGCCTCTGAGTACAGCTGAGAGACTCCAGGAGCAAAGCTGTCACAGACACGAGGCAGTTAAGGGTGTCAGTCACTGAAATGCTCAGCACTTGCATCTCCTGCTGAGCTCAGTGGAGTGGGAAAGTATTCTGCTCCTAGAAAACACCAGAGCCTAAGCATAGAAGTAGAAAGTGACGCCCTAATTATGTCAATGTTTCAGCTTTTGTTTCCTTAAAATTATTAATGTGAATATTACACCACCACTGTGATTTAAAAATCCACAGAGCTTTATCGCTGGTTTAATGAGACTACATGTTTTGACATGAAGCATAACTCCTGAATTTGTCCTAAACCGGGACAAATAACAAAGCATGTGATAGAATGAGAAGTGTTAGGGAGTGAACAGTATGCAATGAGAGGAAGTTTCAACGTCACCTCTTCTAAAACAGAAGATGCATTGATAATTGTTTTTAATAGAAACTTTATTTCCTATAAGTGCTTTAAAATCCAGAGGAGCAGCTTTATTTGAGCTGGTTCAGTCATAACATTCCTGAATGTCAGAATTCTGTACCACAGAATCCTGCAAATGCATTTATCTGACTTCTGCTGTGAAATCTGATTTGAATTTGATGGGGCCAGGAGTAGGGGGATGGGGTGTTAACTTAAAGCATTCTGCAACATGCATAGGAACTTGCAAACTATCCTTGTCTTTATAGGGACAATGGAATTAAATATTTCTGGTCATCTCAAGATCTTTATATTTTTAATTTCTCAATTGATTGATTTCAGCTGAGTTGGGAGAGTGTGAGCACCCTGAGCACACACCAGAGCTCGTGTCTGAATTCAGGTTTGCACCAAACCAGACTGAAGCAATGGAATTTGACATTTTTCAGAAATGGAAAGAGTGCAGGTAGAGTACCTGTGTGGGAGTGGGGTCTCTAGCAACAGGTTTTCTTCTCTTCCAAAGTCAAATCCTTTCAACAGGCATGAAGTGGGGGTTATTTTTGTCAGTGGAGAAGTATTGTAAAAAATCTTTGAGCCCTCTCCTTCCCTAGAAATGCCAGGCAGTAATTTAGGGAAGGTTGGTGGGGTGAGTTTTAATTTTTTAATGGTTTTTCTTTTAGAGTATTTTGTAATAATTTAAGGAGACTTGTCTTCTTCCTGTTTATGTTGGAAATAAATCTCTTTCTCTTTCTCCCTTTCTTTCATTCAAACATAAATTTTATGTTTGAGTGTTAGGAAACTCATTTTCCTGTCTTTTGTTAATAAATACGGTACATTTTAGTGATGCTTTGTTACCTGAACTTTCATCCTTATTGGCAATTTTAGACCTTCTTGCATTTTCGGTCCTCTGTTTTATTTTCATTTGGAGGGAAGAGGAAAAAAAAAAAAGATTGAAATACCATTTAGTGTCCTTAAGATTGAGGACACAAAGAAAAGAGTTAGGGGGATGAATCTAAAAGCATTTGAAGTGGATATTTTTTTTTACCATGAAGTATGAATTTTATGTTCATAGGGGAAAGAGCCCGGCGCAGGCTGAGTTGTGCTACTTGAACAAAGCTAAATGGCTAGAAATGTATGGTGTAGATATGCATGTAGTTAAGGTAAGATCTCTGTGATGTTCTATTTTATCAGTGTGGTGTCCCTGCCCTGGTGTGGGCCAGTCCCTGAGGAGCGTCCTTGTTATGGTCTGGGTTGTCCCATGGGCCGTGGTCCCTCTCAAGTTATTCCCACCAGCAGCACCCCTCCCAAGGGTGCTTCTCTGTGCTCCCACAGCATCCCTTTCCCATGCCTTTTCCTGTGTCCCTCAGTTTCTTCCTGTTGTGTCTCCTTCTCCTGGCAGGAACTTGAACAGGTGAGGTGTGGGCTGTCCTGAATGCAGTGTTGATGTGGGTCCATCTCCATGGATCTGAGAGCCTCTCTGAGCAGCACATGGCCTCCTCCCACAAAGGGCACCCTGCAGCCTCCCGTTGCCAAAATATGCCACTTTGCACCCAATACAGCTGCATATTCTTCTGCTCTGTAATGTTAAAAAAATATGGCAACTTTATTGTTTAGTTTAAGACCTATGGATTTTGCAGTACTACTGTATTAAAAAAATGTACACCGCTCATGGCAGATTAATTATTTATTCTGTACTTGCTTGCAGGGAAGAGATGGTTGTGAATATGCTCTTGGACTGACACCAACAGGCATATTGATCTTTGAAGGAGCCAACAAAATAGGCTTATTCTTTTGGTAATCTGCTTTTGTGTTATATTGGTTTTTGTTAAAATGCTGAAATCTTTCTCCTTTGCATAATGGGATCTTGACTGTATTTCGTAATTTATAATTGAATCTACAAAGTTTAAAATCTGAAGGTTAAATCTCAAAGTGGATTGGCCTGGTTAGATGTACCACTCTCAAATGTGAAAGTTGTAGAAATAAAATTATTTAGTATTATTTTAATTCTGTTCTTTTTGATTCTTGTGTTTAGGCCTAAAATCACAAAAATGGACTTTAAAAAGAGCAAACTAACGCTCGTGGTTGTAGAAGATGATGAACAGGTAACTTCTTTCCCTTACTTGAGCCTGATCCAACAAAGTGTGGTGTGTGCTCAGGCTGGTAAGAACACAAGGGAGGCTCAGCACACTGTTGGCCCAGGCTGTGTTTCTCCTACCAAGGACAATAACTAATATCATGCATGCCAACTTGCAAAGCTTTTGTTTCTGCATTTAGGGCAGAGAGCAAGAGCACACATTTGTTTTCCGGTTAGACAGTGCCAAAACGTGCAAACATTTGTGGAAGTGTGCGGTGGAGCACCACGCTTTCTTCAGATTGCGAGCCCCAGCAAATAGTAAATCTAGTAGATCCGACTTCATAAGACTGGGATCACGCTTCAGATTCAGGTACTTAGTGAAGTAACAGCAATATATTTATCTTTGTACAAAGGAGCAGGTACAGCTTCCAGCAGAAGGCAGCAGTTTACTCTGTTTGTTTCTGTGTTTTAAGTGGGAGGACAGAATATCAAGCGACACACGGGACGAGGTTACGCAGAACTAGCACGTTTGAAAGAAGGCCCAGCAAGAGATACCCCTCTCGGAGACATTCCACTTACAAGGGTAAGTGTTTCTAGACATATGGGCACTGAGCTGGTCATGCAGGTGTCCCATTAAATTCTATAAATGACACATTACAATTGTGACATCTGTACAGAGTATGTCAGATCACCTAAAAAATCAGAACGTGCATGGAGTTTTTTTTTTGCCACAGTTCGTTGTTTCCCTCTTCTGTTTTTGATCTCTAACTACAATGAATTCTTCCACCCCCGTCTCTATGGAGGTGGTACCTACAGTTTCTTTTGTTGCTGTATTGAGGAGGAAAGAAAAGTTGCAGAAAACCCACTAAGGCAAAGCATGTAATGTTTTTTTGAAGAATTGCTTGTGAAATGTGGGGTGGAGCAGTATCCAAAAGCCTCACTGACTTGCTTACCTAGCCAGACAATTTTAGGGTTATTGGGCTCATTATGCAGTTGCTGTGGCTTTTCTGATTGTAATGACATGTTATTCACCTGTCCAGACTCTGACCTTAACTAGCTTGCCCTGGGAATTGAGATGTGCTGAATTTAAATGGAATGACAGGGAATTAATTTCTCTTGTGGTTTTGTAATCTGTCCTTAAAAACTTGAGCTTATTGTTCCATGTAGAAAAAGCTTGAGCTTTTTGTTCCTCCTAGGAAGGAGCGCTGCAGGATAACTCTCCAAATTCTGTATTACTTGAGCCTGTCGGTATAGTTGCTGTATGGAGCAAGGCCGTACACAGTAGGGTGAGATGACATTCCCCTAGAATGTCTTTGCACTCATTTGCATTTCCAGAATATAAACCACAGTTCCATGAGCAGCCCTTGTGGTATTATGGGGACATTTTTGTCTCACTTACAGTGGGGGGAGAAAGGGTGACAAGCATGCATGCTTTCTAGAGGCTATAACTCTTTCCCCTGCTTCCTGCCTTAGTACATGGAAGGAGTTTAACTGAAATGCAAATTTAATAAATCTGTGAGATGCTGTTATGTGAGACATGAGAGTCAACTATATAGTGTAGTGTCATGGTTTGGGCCTGGCACAGAGGCAGTGCCCCCATGAGAATACCTTCTCCCTGGTGTCTGCTGTGAGATGTGACCAGGAATAAGCAAAGCAGGCTCCAGCTTAAACATAAAGAAAACTTTGTTACCTAAACTACAAGAAAAGAAAGAAAAAAAACTACAAGAGAAAAAATTGAAAACCTTACAAAAAAAAAACACTTTCCTTCTCCCCACCACCAAAATTTCCCAATCCGATACATCCCCTCAAATCACCAACTGCCCAGTCTGGCACCACCCTTTAGAATACTCAAACTTCAGTCCATGAAGAGGAGAGGAGTCCTTCTTGCACCATAGGCTTCTCCTGGAAACACGCTGAAATCTCGTGTGCTTCCATGTCACTCAGCACCGCCCGGAAAGTCCTTTTGCCGCTTGTGACGCCTTCCTTCCATGCCCAGTGCTCTCACCACTGTGCATGGACCAGAGCTGCTTTTAGGGTTGTCTTTTAAGGATGCCTTGTCTCACTCCAAAAAGGCACAGTCTCTGCTTTGGGACATCTGTCCCCCCCATTTTTTTCCAACCCCCTGGGGCCGAGGGGTACCCACACCGAACCCTCCTGGTTCTGAGGTGCTGCCTCCCCCTAAGTGCAGTCTCTGTGTCACAGGAATAAAACTGAGTCTATGGCCACACAAGAAAAGTCCAGCCAAAAGGCCACTCCAATCATCTCTCCCCACTCAGCCAGGCTTTCTTCACATCCTTCGGGCCAGGTCCTTGTCTCATCTCATCTCTTATCTCCCTTCTTATTCAGCTCCGAGGAGGATCAGCATTTTTGCGAGGTCCCAATCATGAAAGAAAGGGCTTAAAAATTTCAGTCTCTGCCTGTCCCAGAGCTCCGGCACTCCCATGCTGCCCTGCTGGGCACCTTCTTGCCGCACTCCCCCCTTTCCTCCTCGGCCGGTCGCTATCAAATTCAGACGCCAGCTCTCCCTCTCTCCTGGTGGGGGGGGTGGCTGCCCGATGTCTCTTGGTGCTCCTCCACCCTTCCATCCTCAAGGGCCTCCTCACCCCCCATCTCTATCCAGGCCCAGGCCTACCACATGGCTGCCCCTCCCCTGCCCAGCAGCAGCGGCTGGACGGGGAAAGGGAGATCCAACCTCTTTCCCTCGAAGTCCCAAGAGAGTCTCCCAGGGCCGAAGCTCTGGTTTTAACCCCTGTGTGTTCTCGGAGGTGTGTCCAAACGCAACTGGCCACACCAGGTACCAATATCAAAATCCGAGCACCCATTGGTTTGACCACAGCATCGCAGAATTCCCACTTCTTCCTGGTCAAACCACCACATGTAGGTTATTTTTTAAGTGGAAGAATGAATTCTTTAAATTTAATTCTTGCCCTAACAGGATCTGACAGACCTGCAGGTTTTGCCTTGAGTCTCAGTGCTTCTGTACTTATGTCTGTGAGAGAGAGGCAGAAGAGAGAAAGTGTGGCTTATGCTTAGTTATGTTCTCTGTCCATTGCAGCCAGTCAGAACTTCTTTCACACCCAAGTGGTCGCCTTCTAGAGAGCTCAATACATGTTTGTTAGGTTAATGCAAAAACTCTCTGTAGGTTGTTGTCTTTTCATGCATCTTTTGGCCATAAGCCCTGTACCTAAATGCAGCCCACAAGGGTTGGATTCTCTCCTAGCACTGTTGCTTTTGAGACTTCTGCAGTGTGTCACTAACTTCCTGCATTCAGCAGTCAGCTGGATCTTCACTTTCTCTCTGAGAAGTTCTTCAGTTCTCTTGAAACACACACAGACATGGAAAAGAGATGATACCCCCCCAGTTACTCAGCTGCTACCTTCACCATTCTTTCCAGCCTGTCCAAAGCAGAGGCCGTGACCTTGTTCCTCAAGATTACTCAGTGCCTCCCAGGATTCCCAACTGATGGGCTATCTTGGCTACCATCATTCCCTGCAGTAAGACACAGGCCATTGCCAGCTTTGTGAATACTCTGGTTTCTGTAAGATAGTGAAAATTTCTGCAAGGGATAGTTTCTGATTTCCACTGGACTTGATGGTATTGGCATCATACTACAGTAAGATGAGGAAAAAAGTGTCCTGGTTGCGCAGAACATACTCTGCCAAAAGTCCTGTTGTGGCATTTGGGAAGAATATGCTTGTCTGCTGTCATCTCTAAAGGGCTTTCACTCTGGCAGGACCAGAGGGAGATTTGTGTCTGCCTCATACTTCATGATGTTGCACAGGATTACTAGAAAGCACAGGGCTGCACTTGAAATTCAGGCACTTCTGTGCAAATATGTCTGTGTAAGGATTCACTTTAGCCAACAAGAAGTGCAAAATAGCTGATACTTCACTTGTCTTAAGATTTTTGTGTTTGTTTCTTTTTAAGCAAACAATCCTGTGAAAGCAGCACAACTGTGGTAAGTGACTGCCCAACTTTTTTCTACCTCTCAGTTGCTGTTTTCAGGCTAAAAAGATTCTGAAGACAATATATGCTTTAGGATTTGTAGAAACAGATTCTCTGGTGTGGGATGAATTGCTTTGGCATGTCTCATTATGCATCACCAGATTCTTCTCAGGGTCTGTCTGCTTCCATTGTTTAGTCTATTTCTTTTATTATTTTTATATATGAAATCAGACCAAAGTAAAACATACTTCCTTTTTGCTAACTGCTCTTATGCTATGTTATCAAGCATAATTTGTTCATGTTTTTTAAATCTAAAACAAACAAATTTTACACCACTCTTTCACACCTTAACTGCTATGATGCATATCTTGAATAAAATAATGATGTCTCCTTAAGAGTATGAATTTTGCTTCTCTGTTGTACTTCCCTGAACTAAAAAGCATTGTGATGTAGATGTATTGATTACATAAAAGCAATTTTTTTTCTCTCTTAGTGCTAAAAATACTCCAGAACTCCATAACTACCAGGTAAGAGCATACCAGTTACAGAGGAAAATGTGGTCTATTCCATATTTTATGGTAAATATTTTTGCACTTTATAGTTTGTACAGCTGTTTTGCTCCTCTTTCCTTACTCTGGAGTGAGATTTTATGATGTGTCAGAAATAAACAGCACCATATTGGGGTTAAGGAGTTTCCTCTTTTTTCCCCTGTGTTCTTGGATGCTCTGCAAGCTGAGTAGACTCCATTTGCCATCTTCTTTCCCGTTCTTTTCTTTCTGTGCAAGTTAAAGCCTTTGGGACTGTGAATGTGATGGGCCCCAGGAGACTGCTCTGTGAGCAAGCTTTTGTCTAGAGTAGCCTCTCACAGCAGGTGATCGTGACAATTTCCAAGTTGCAATTACCTCCCTCATCACAACACTTACAGAGTTCCCTGCTGGTCAAACCCTTGTTGGGGTTTTTTTAATACACTCCAGGGAAAACATTACCTGGTTTTCATCTGTGCTGCTGACAGTCAGTAGATACTGAGAAAAAACAAGCTTCCAAACTCTGCATGTGCATGAGAACTTAGTTTTAACACTTTTTATTAAAACCAGTGATTTTGTTTTACTTTTTCTCTTCAAGATCTTGTGGATATAAGAAGGAAGTCCTGTCACCAAAGACAGGAGACCTCCTGAAGCCTGCTGTTAAAACCTTTCTTATTCTCCACCTTTGATCAAAGTTGACATTTTTTGATGTGCGTTCTATGAGAAGCACTGGATGTGCCAGGTTGTCTGTCAAACAGGAGAACAATTTTCTTTGCATTGTCCCATGAGTGTGTCCTAATGAGCAGGCTCAGCACCAAGAGGCTTCACTATGTGCTCAATGACATGGGAGAAGGTCAGAAGCATTAGAGTTTCTAGGGTTCACCAGGAAAATAAAAGTTAAAACTTAATAGGGAGCTTTAATATGCTTTCATTAACCATTTCAATGTTTCCATTTGCAGCCCCAGTATCATCCTAATATACATCCTGCTCAGCCACACTGGCATCCACACACCCCTGTGAATGTAAGGTAAGCAGTCTTCCCTTTGTGGATAAAAGATGATTACTTCTTTCTTTATGTTACTTGATATGAAGCTTTGGTGGCCCTGTTGGGCAGTTCTCTGCACATGAAAAGCAAACAAAAGTTAGAAGTATGAGATATAGAGACAGTATTAAATAACTTCTAAGTTTTGCTTTGGAATATGAATCTTTTTCTCTAGTTGATTTCTAATTCAAAATTCAAAATAGAATATTAGTGATCTCCTGTAGGGAGTCTGTTGGATAGGGAGCTGCTCTGTAGCTTAATTGCGAATCAATCAGTATTTGTTTGTATTTAATTTCCTAAGACAGAGGAGAAACTCATTTTACTGTAAAGTTAAGTTATTAATAATTATATTTTTTCAGTGGAGCACTGTTTTCATCTTTTGCAGAAATGTATATGAAAAAATGACAAGTACATGGAGCAATTTATCAAGAGCATTAGAGATAATGAGTAAAATTATAGCACTGAGTTTTTGAGAACCATTTCACAAAAACATTCCTGCCTGTTCTGTTGTGCTATCTTCTCGCATATTTCTTTCTTTGTAGCTAGTGATGAGAGACATTGAGGGAAAAGAAATTTTGGAAGAAATTCAGTCCAATTAAAACCCACTTGGTGGAATGCACAGTAAAGGCATGCACCTGCTGGTGGATATGTATCTATATGTGTACACATGATAAAAGCCAGCCACTTCTTTATCCTAATAAAAAGTAACCTTTTTTGATGACTCAGGTTTTTAGACAAATAATTACTGCCTTCAGTGAAAAATACCAATACCCTAATTTTTGTTTCTCCTTATCTAACATTTATATTCTTACATCACAATAGGTAGACTTTGGTTTTAGTGTGGGCAGGCTCTGGGGATGAGGCCAAGTTTAAAATGGATGAAAAGACAATTTGGTGTGAGTTTGAGTCTGAGAATGCAGGAAAAGGGCAAGTACATGATTAGAAATAATAGGCAGAGAAGCAGACAGGCATTGTCATCTCAAAATTCCTAGTGCACAGCAGTGAAGCAGATATTAAATTTGTGTTAGAAACAGGAGACTTGAAGTTGTGTAATGAACTTTCCCTGTATTTCAGGCTCAGGAGTCTTCCTGGTTTTAGGGTTTCTTTATCCAGTTTATTATGAGCTCTTTAAAATGTACAATTTCACATTATGAAAGAGTGGCTGCCAAGAGAGCCTAATGATTTTATAAATCATTTGAGGTTTTGCTGAAATTTTTCTAAAGATTTCATCACTTACGATACCAGTCCGTGACATTTTAAAGCCAAATAGTTCACCCTGGAGCAGAGTGATATTGAAATAAGCACAATAATGTATTGTAGTGTGTGTAGACAACCTCCCCCTTCAGCCCCTCCACTGCCTGGGCAAAGACTAAGGTCAGTGAAATATGAACAATGGCTTTTTTATTGCAAGGCTTGTAAAGCTAAAAAAAAAAACAACCCATACTTAAAAGCTCAGTCATAGAAGCTTGGTAGAAAAGGTGCTCAGAATTTTGGTCCCATTCAGGTAGAAGCATTTAAATGTGTGATTAAAGTGGAAGTTTCAAGTTATTCTAACTTGGAGTCAAAGTGAAATAATTGGATAATTAAAATCTTGGACAGCTTGATTTGAAAAAGGTTATTCCATTTGAATGCAAACTTGAGATCACAACCACAGATGCATAAAATTCCTTCTGCTGTGCATGAAGGTCTGGAATAGGCATGGGCTGAAATGAAATTACTTGTGTAATACATGTTATATATGGAGCTTTTGTTGAATAACTTGTGAAATAGTATGTGGAATTGTGTCTCAGTTTTCTTAGTAAATTTCTTTCACTGAAATTGTTTGCAGATTCTTTCAGTGAAATTGTTTGCAGTTAGCTTAATATTTAACCTTCTGGAAAAAAAATCCAATGAACAGCTGTCATTATATAACTTTAGAATATATCTAAAAAAAAAATCTAAACCTTGCCTGTGTTTCTGCTACTATAAAAAAACTTACCAGAATCATAGAATGTCTTGGGTTGGAAGAGACCTTAAAGATCATCTGATTCCAACCCCTGCCATGGCCAGGGACACCTTCCACTAGACCAGGTGGCCCAAAGCCCCATCCAACCTGGCTTTGAACACTTCCAGGAATGGAGCATCCACAGCTTCTCTGTGCAACCTGTTTCAGTGCCTCACCACCCTCACAGAAAAGAATTTCTTCCGTATATATAATAATTGCAGCTTCAATTTGGTAATAAGGTAATGTTAAATGTTGTGGTTTCCTACATAGTGTTCAAAATCGTTGTTTTATTTATTCCCCACTCCGCTGCAATGATTTAGGGGACACTGTAGGAATGGCTGAAGTTAGTTTCTAAGCAGCAATAAGTAATGAACAAATAAGGAAAAAGATATTAAGCAGCAATAAGTAATGAACAACTAAGGAAAAAGATATTTTCCTTGTAGTACTTTTGCAAGTCTCAGAGAATTACCTGTACTAACTGTAGACTGGGGGTGTTCTTAAGAAAATGCAACTCTGTACATTACAGGCTGCCTTAGTGTTAATTAACTGCACCAGTGCCAAAGGAATGGCAACAACTACAGAGCTATTTTCATTCATAATAGGATTGCCTTTCTTAACCCTTTGCACTTTAAGGATGTACTGTCATGAGCTCAGCGTTTTGCATGATATGTTTTATTTTACTTGTTCATTGTACAAATTTAGTTTTCCCGTAGCCTCCTCCCCTTCCCCATCCCCCTTTTGGAATTCCAGAGCATTGATGCACTGTGCTTGTCTGTATCATTGCAAACAGAGAGGGTTTTTAATGATTGAGCTCTGGTTGAAAGCCTTTTGAAAGTAGCTAGAAGATTCCCAGTTGCTTCAGCAGCTTCAGCATAAGATCCTATGGGTCTGTCCCCATTTCCTTGCCATGCTGTAGCTCCGTGTGCATGCCTAGCACTTGCAGGATGAGCTCATGTTTCTGTGTAGCACTCCTAAGTTGACTTCCATTCCTCACTAACCAATAACTGTGCAAATGGTACAGGCCACCCTATCATGATGACAGGCCCTATTGGAAACCCCCCACAAGTGGAGAGGACAGCAATTTACGGTATATCCAGGAACAGAACCAGAAGAATTTAGGAGGAGTCCAAAGCATGGTGTACCAAGATAAACTCATGACGACTCTCTGAAAAAGAGCCATCTTCATTTCACCTGCCACCTTAGACATCATTGCATTCCATGGTCCTTGTCTGTGTGCAGTATGTTCAAAGTGTATTGTGCATAAAGTGTGTGTCTTTGTATGTACATCCATCCTTGTTTAGTGTTTGTGGACATTCTTGGGAAAAGTGTTTTCCATATCTTTGTTAAAAAAAAAAAAAATCTTGAAAAACCTCTTGAATTCTGGTAAGAATTTTCAGTGCCCTGAGACCAGGAATATTTCTGGGGGTTTTCATTCTACCCTAGTTTCAAATCTGTGACCCTCTGCCTGGTGTTGAAGATCAGACATTTGTGCCTTAGTTATTTTTATTACCTTGTGTCTTTTGAGTCAAATTAATAGATTGAGAACATTGTTTTTTAGTGGTATTCAAATAGGAGATTGGAGGAAGGAAATAATTCATTCTGGCAATCAAATTGGCTTGTGGGCCACCAACAAAGGGAGCCTACTGAGGCAGTCATAAGTTTGGATGTTATTTGTTTCTAGTTTTTGTGTTCTGCAGAAGAAAATAGAGGTGCTTACCTAACTTTGAAAACAAGTATAGGGAAAGAACACTGCAATAAATTTCACAGAGTATGTTGGTTTTTTTTGGTTTTTGGTTTTTTTTTTACTTCTTGTATTGATAGCATTCCCCAAAACCATACCTGCTGCTATAAAGGCAAGAATGTTAAAAATGAGTCCTTGCTAAAAGGGTGCTGCTGTCATCTTATTTTTAATGTGATTATGGAAGTGAACTTTTAATTACATGAAACTACCTGCTGATAACTTTTCTCTGAGTGGGCTCAAAAACACAACATATAATCAGTACATTAAAAAATGAGGACATTCCAGTGGAATAGCTCTATTTTTTTAAAGTTAGACATTTGTGAAGTTGAATGTATATTTTGCAGACCTAGGACTTTGAATTGGACTGGCTGGTATTTTGATCACTTGCAGACTTTTTGTTATCTTTAAACCAAAAATCACAGTGCCATCTTCACTCATGCATTTGTTTTAGCTAGGCCTTACATCTGTGGTCTCTCTGAAGTTGTTGCAATGAATGAATCTTCATTTGGGATGTTTTCAAAATGAAGTAGTTTTTAACTTGATTTTGATAAATGCACATTTATAAATGGCTATAACAAATTTTTTCAGAGGAAATTTGATAGTTTATAACTTTTTGTGAAATACATTTGTTTACAAATGCTATCTTTTATTATTTGTTTTGATCTTTCCTGTATGTGCTAAGTACAAATAAAAAAATGTCAATCTTGTTGATCTGCTTATGATGCATTATTTATTTTTGAAAGATTTTGGGGGAGGGTGGGTAGATATGCTTGTACCTGATTTCCCCTGTAGTTACTAATGCTGTGGTGGATCAATGTTTCCAGTACAATCTGTAGAGAGAGCAAGACAATAAAGCAATTGTGCACTGAGATGTGAAAATGCCAGAGTAAGCCTAAGGTGTGTAATCACAGAGGCTAACTTTGGTTTCCCCAGACTAGTCTTCCTCTAGTTCAGCAGCATTTTATTTAAGAAAGGAAGAAAGAGAAACTTTGTTGGAGCCACTGGAACAAAAGTGTAGTTTAGCTGCTGCTCTGAAAGCAGTCTGGAGGAGGGTTTTTTGAATACTCACATTAAAGTGTGAGGCAATGGTGCTTTATTCTTTACAAACCTACATTCATAATACAGTGTCATTCTTGTCATATAACCTTGTCAGCTTCCATGTGCTCTGTTGCCAGTGTTCCACCTCATCCTGTGTTGCTGTGTGTGGTTTGCTTTGTTGCTGAAGGTGCACTGAGCAAGGGATCCATTCCCTGACAGACT